GAGAACATTCAGCAAAAAAACAATAAAGAGATACCCGTAACTGTTTTTAAATTTTTAAAATTATAAAATTATAATAAACACCAAGTTTGCAATCATTTAAAATGTGTATACATTTTTTTGAGACACCCTGTATAATACACGTATGCCTATCTCCACCAACCTATCTTACCTGCAAGATGCAATTCGGTAAATAGCTAGAATTTATTATTACAATCTTCAAGATATTTATTGGTAACACCTTCATTACTGCTTACTGTCTGCAAGCCTTCTACTCCCGTAGACCACTGGAATAACTTATTTTACTTTCTTTGTTGCAAACAGGAAACATTAGTATAAACTCGACTCAGCCGATTGTAGGAAACGTTTTGCACAAGTAAATTACTGGGAAGAAGTCGAAATCGTCATATTTATCTGAACAAATTATGAATAACTTTGCAGAAGAACGCAAAATTAATGCTCTTTGTGGAAGCGAAATATTTGCACACACAAAACACGCAAGTAGATGTATCTACGAAAAACGGCAAATTTCAACTAATTTTGGCAGAGTCGGAATATTACCTTCCATCCTTTGTGCAACGAAACCTATGGAAAAAATTCCTTTTTCCCAAGTTTAAAAAGGCAGAACGGAAAAAGATGTGACAGTTTGCAAATATAGTTTCCCACTTAACCGCTCTATAAGTAACGTTTGTAAAATTTATCACTGATATGAAGAGCACTGGTGCTGAGAAATTGACTCAGCATTTTTGAGAAGAAATCGACAACTCAACAGTTCGCCGTAACTAGATATACACTCATTTCCATTTCAAGACCTAAGACTGTTCAAGAGGTCCTTTCACGATTACCAACCAACACCAAGGATATTTTTCTATAAGCATATCAATAATTTGCATCTGCCTAAACACTTTATGCGGAATGGCTACCCACCTGTGATATAACGTTGCTGCCCACGCGTTCGGGGCCATAAATTAAGAACATCCCAGATGCGATCGAGCACACTGCTGTGATAATGGGTGTTAGAAAGTCACATTGCGCCAAACAAACCAGGTAGAGCACGGTCATGACAATCAAAGAGCGATTGAGTTCCAAGGAGTAGTCGGTATGGTCCATTGCATTCTACGCTTAAATCGTCCTTAGACGATATTTTCCGGACTATAAGGTGCACTTAAAAGCCTTTAATTTCCTTAAAAAACGATAGTGCACCTTATAGCCCGGAGCGACTTATAGATCGATTAATTCTGGTTGCTGACCTCGAAGCAAGCTTATAAGGTACATGGCACTGGGTTAATCTGTAGTCAGGAGCGTCACGGAGTGACATATACAGTGTTTCACCATAATATTACAGTATGAGTGTATGTTTAGTGGTCGCTGCCGGCCGACGCCTTCTATTGCTTTGTCCGACGTCATTTTTCAAGGCCATCCAATACCTCAAGCAGGGCTAACAGACGCGCTGATCTGCAGAGACTTGACCTACTTCCACTCGGACACACACACGTGC